TATGGTATTCAGCTTTGCTCGGGTATTTCGTCATTATAGTGACGTGGGAAAATACCCAAACAAAGCTGAATACCATACATGTAAGTACCCACGAAAACTTAAGAAAATACACACACACACACACACACACACGTATGTATGTATGTATGAAGAAATTATATAGTTTAGGATCTTTTAATGTCAGGATTCTATGTGGTACAGACAGCCTATACCTTAAAACAGATTCCCAGGTGCAGATATTCCCCTTCCAACATGCCAAAAGAAATATGTGGATATAGCAAGAAGTAAATCAACAATTAAATGGAAATAAGGACTCATAAGGTTTAGCAAACTTAATTTATTCACAATCTATAAGCAGTAACTATGACATCTAGCTATAAGATCACGCCATGTTAATGCGATTCAAGAACAGCATTAGCATCACAAGCAACTGTTTCTTCTCACTGCACAATCAGCTTGTACAATGGTGAACCCACTCCAGCCTTATAATCTCATTCCAGAATCCAAGAGACTTGGTTAAAAAGCAATCTAGTGAATAGCTTTGCAAAAATACTCTGTCAACTGTATAACTTACTGAAGAGTGCCAGTAATTGTGTCCAGCATAGCTGTTCATCCTGACTGTAACTATGCTGTTCGGTCTCATTGCTAAAATCCCGTAAATGGTGCAACTGAAACAGGTTGATGACAGTAATATGGACAAGCTGTTGAGAATTGAAGGTTTTTTGGAACAGCAACCTCTGCAATAATAAAAAACACATAATCCAACCTTTCAAAAATATATTATGTCAAACTGTTCAATCTGACTGGCAGCTATTACAGAGCATCTAATATACGCCTGTAGACCATTTAACCCTCAATTACCTCCAGTGTAGCAATGTATATAGAACCATGTGAAACTGTGCATATTCAAATAGCTATTGTCTCAGATTTAGTTAAGACACCGTCATGGTCTTCAATTCTTTTAATGACAATTCATGTATGTATGTAGGTGAAAGTGCTATCTGGAGAGACCACTGCATTAATGTCTTTTGTCTATCAATTGCTTCTGGATAGGAATACACAGAATCACTGATAGGAATACACAAAGAGAGTACTACACATATCTAAATAGTCTAGGTAGAGATCAAATGACAGATTCAAACAACTTTGCAATAAAAATTCTTTCCAAAAAGAATTGTCTGTCTGTCCCTCTCCTCCCACTCCCATAGATCTATATACATTTAATCTCTTCCTCCATATTAAGATCACCATGCTATTAGCCTGTTGCTTGAAGTGTAAAAAGCAGAAAACACAAGCAGCAAAATGAATTGCAACTATGTTTTTTAAGACCCAGGATTTCAAGTAGGAGTTACAGATGGAAACATAATGTTTTTAATGCCAGATGTGTAAGGATGGAAGTATTACAGCACATTATTATTGGGGCATCTTGCAAGAAAAGAATATTTTTGTAAGATGCATGATATCATAATGGTTGTCTTCTTTCTTAAGCCAATAAAGAACAGGAAAGCAGCATTCCTACTACAGGTAGTCCTCAACTTATGACCACAATTGAACCCAGAACTTATGTTGCTAAGTGAAAAATTTGTTAAGTGAGTTTTGCTCCATATTACAACTTTTCTTGCCATATTTGTTAAGTGCACTTGTTATCACTGCAGTTAAAATGACAGCAGATTTTAAATTAGTAACATGGTTGTTAAGTGAATCTAGCTTCCCAACTGACTTTGCTTGTCAGAAGATCGCAAAAAATTATCACATGACCCCAGGACACTGCAACTGTCATAAATATGAACCAGTGGTCAACAATTCAAATGTAAACTACGTGACTATGGGGTTGCTGCATCAGTCATAAGTATGAAAAATGGTCATGTCACTTTTTTCAATGCCACTGTAACTTCAAATGGTCACTAAATGAACTGTTGCAAATTGAGGAGTACCTATACATGTTTAAAAGGATTAGAAGAAATTCCCAAGGATTGTTGCATTCATAAATCAATTAAATCAATTTTATACTGATTTTTATACAGAAGTTAGTTCAGCAGGAAAAGCTGGGAGTATTCATAAACTAACCTTGAATTGCTCTTCTAATTTCTCACGAAGAGGATTTAATTTCTCCAAATTCTTACTCAGATATACATGGCCATGAAATTTTATAAATGCCTTAATGAAATCAGATATTCCCCACTGAGTTTTCACCTCATCACGACTGCAATTATGAAACAAAAATTGTATTTCAGTCTTGGAAGCACGCATATTAAACTTTTATATTACACATGCACTTTGTAAACATTTACTGCATAAAATATGTATTTATTACTGGACTTTATTCAAGAGCATTATTATGGGTTGAACAGAAATAATATTTGATAAAAGTGTCAGAAGCTAGACAGAATTGCTTTGGAAATCATATCGTCCACTAAAAAGCAATTAACCAAAACAAACCAAGGACCCATATTAATAATAGAAGCTTAAGACTGCACTCGTGTACAATTTTGATATAGCCAGCTGTTAGGATAATCAATCTATCCATCCAGCCACTGATTCAAGGACTGCTCCATCTCATAAATAAAATTATAATCTAATTTATGTGCAATATTTACAATTAGGAATTCATTTACAATTAGACTAATACTGGATAAAAAGATATGCGAAAGAAAATTATTTGCTTGCAACTTTCTTGAGAACGTATTGATACTGCAGTTTGGGCAAACAATCTAGAATGTGACTCTATACACACTTTAAACCTTATACGTGGTTAATACTTTGCACACAAGAACTTATGATCCCCAGATGTTACTGAACTAAAACGGTATTTGTACAGAGACAATGTTACATCAATACATTCCCTTCTGAAATACATCCAATGGCCTTACCTTTCCAGTGCTTTAGAAAGTGCTTTTTGTAGGTTAGTAGAAGCAGCTGGGAAAGGAAATTTCACAGCAATGCTTCTGCAGTAGTAGAAAATTGTGGTCAGGTGATCTCCTTTGGAGGATGCTAAAATAGCCAGCTGATTATAAGGCTGACCTAAATAGGATAAATAAAAGGTTAGTTACTGAGTTCCAGCTTTGTTTTATAAGCGCAATCCAATGTCCTTGTTATATTCTAAACCAGAGATCCAAACCCACAATCCGCGGACCGCTATCAAACCCACGGCCTGATGGGAACATGAAGCACTTTCTGAGTTAAATGCTGAAAAATATGAATGACTTCAATTTACAGCATAATTATTCATTTACATCATTCCTTTTATAAATCAAAAAGGACATATGTTTAAAAAATACAAGATAGGTATGAAAAAGCTGTTCCAATTGGATATGCAATAGCAAAAAACATTTCAGTGTGATGCTTAGTAAGCATCAACGGTCCCCAACCTTTGCGACTTGGCAGTCTGGCTGGGGGAAGGGGAACCGGCCACATGAGCAACAGGCTAGCACGCATGCACGTGTATGCAGTTTTATTTATGCAAGGGTCAGGCCAGCGCACACACGCATATGGCTACATTTGTGCAAGTTGAGCTGCATGCGCAGGTACACATGTGCTGGCCTACTGCTCAAACAAGTTGAGGTGCACACGTGGCCCGTTTTGAATAGGCTATGGCCTGTGGATTGGAGATCCCTGCTGTAAGGTTTTGTTAAAACAGGGCTACTTCTGATACAAAATCCTCAGCAGTGATTAAGTTGGTCTTAGAAAGACTGCCCTGTCTTCCTTCTTTCACTGCCATGACTGTGAAATATAAGTACTTAAAACTGGTATCCTAAATAGAAATAAACCTTATCTGCTGAAACAGAAGTTATTCAACCATGTGTATTACACTTTCAAAACTCACCATTGGAGGGGACAAGCTGAGCTGCATGCCTATAATAGGATTCAGCCTGGCTGGTCTGATTTCTGTAGCGAGCTGGGAAGAGATTATTTTATTTTAAACAGAATACTAGTTTACATGTACCCAATTTCTAAAATAGCTTGTTTTGTGCATAATACATAGTGGTTCCTATAACATTTGTGACCTTCCAAATATATGGTTTTGAGTTATTTTGTTGTCTAAGAGAAACTGAAAAACTAATTGGTAACCAGAGTTACAAAACTGCACAGGTGATCAAGTGCATCACTTTAAAGAGTTCTACAATCTACAATACAAATGTCCTGTTTGTAATGCAATTTCACAAGGCCACAATGTCACTTAAATGTGGCATATTCAAGACACTATAGAAAGGGGTGTCAAACCTGCATTGTTGGGGCGGCATCACATGACGTATCGGGACTTTTATCCCCTCTGCTTAACTGGGTGGGGGTGGGGCCAGCATGTGACACATCTGGCCTGAGGGCCACAAGTTTGACATCCCTGCTATAGAATATGCAGTCTTGTACTGTCTTCATAAATTGGTGTGTCTATTTTTTCAACCCCTCCTTGGGACTCTATCATTTGTATATTTTTTACTCTTGGAAGATAAGCTTAAAAAAGAACTTTGCCTACTTCCAATACTTACCAATGTCTCCAAGGTGGACAAGGCAGTGCTGGCATATATATGAGCAGGAGCTAGATTGTGGCTTCACTATGGCGCTGGTGTGCGTCTGTTTATTGCTGATAATTCCCAACTGAGAGGACTTCACACGGCAGGGCAAATCCACATTAAATACTGTGCACAGCTCCTGCAGTAGCTAAAATTAGAAATTATCAGTTATATCTAAATCTCGGATTCTCTATTAAAGCTTAGTTAAACATTTCTCTTTGTTATTCTCCATCATAATCACTTTGTCTTGAAGTTATTCAAGAAGATTTAATAGAACAATAAATCTTTTTATCATTCTTGTTTTATTTCTTCTTAAGTTTATTTCTTGAAAGTTTTGAGCTCATTTGTTCAGTAAAAAAAAATCTCAATATTCAGTGGTCAAAAAATATTATAACATAAGAGATAAAGACTTTAGAGATCCTGAAGAGCTGTTATTAACTGAAAGAGATAAAAGAGAGATCTTGGTCTGATTTGTTATAAAATAAATAAGTATCAATCTTGATTCTTGGCAACTACCAGTACCTGTACCAATCCCTGGAATTTTCTAAACAAGATTTTTAGAAGTAGTTTGCCACTGTCCTTCCTCTTTGGGGCAAGGGTGAGAGTGATTGGTCCAAACTGGCTTCAGGACCAAAGCAGGACTAAGATTCATGATCTCCTGAGTTTCTAACCTGGTTTTCTTTAACTACTATACCAAGCTAGTTTCGATAGATAAGTAGGTAGATAGATAGTTCTAGTTCAGCATCTTTTTCTAAAGCAGTCAAATTAAGACCAAAGAAAAATCTCAAAACAGGATTGCTATCTCCTTTTTATAATTTTCCAATTAGTATTTCAGACATACATATTGTATTTTTCAGACTATAAGACATTCCAGACTATAAGACACACATTGGCTTTAGATGAGAAAACAAGGGGGGGAAAATCTGCCTCTGCCTCCCAGCAATTTGCCTCCTTGCAGCAAACAGCCTGGTCAGCTTTAGCACAGCCTGATTTAGCATAAGCAGCTGATTGGCAGTTGGATTGGCCTCCCGGAATACCATCCATCAGCTGTTCCAGGTTGTGAGGATTGCCGCCATCCATTGTCACCTCAGCACACTCCATTTTCAGCCTGTGTGTGTCCCATTTTTGGCCTCCACGTGATCCGTTTTTGGCCTGTTCCAGGAGGAGGTGGCGATCCCCACCGCCTGGAACAGGCCGAAAATGGGATGTGTGGAAGCCAAAAATGAGGCGCGTGAAGGCGGTGATGATCCCCGCAGCCTGGAACAGCTGATGGGTGGTATTCCGGGAGCCTGATCCAACCACCAATCAGCTGCTCATGCTAAATCAGGCTGTGCTGAAACTGACCAGGCTATTTGCTGTTTGCTGCAAGAAGGCAAATTGCTAGGAGGCAGATGCCAAAGGGCGGGGGGCGGTGGGTATCTATCCATCCATCCATCCATCCATCCATCCATCCATCCATCTATCTATCTATCATTTCTGGCCATTCTTATTTTAATTTTTTTTTTAAAATTAAACCACAAAGGCCTGGTTAGCATGGAACACTAAGAAGAAAAACCCTGCATGGCTTACACATCACATTTTAAGGGGTGTGTGTGTGTGTGTGTGTGTGTGACAGCTTGATTCTCATACAGAAAAAGCTATCATAAAAAGATAGCAAAGAACTCTGAGACCAAGAAAAGCACAACTCAAAATCTGTAGCTTAAAACATGGGGAGACATTCAAGATTGGAACTATGAGATTGACATCAGGCAAATTTCCTACATGCTGCTATATATAGAACTTCTTCATAAAATTATCTAACCTTGTTGCATCTATTTGAAAATGTGAAATAGAAATAAGAATGTTACAAATGAGCTTAAAATGCATAGCTGGGTTCTACATAACTGAAACAGATTACATTGTGGTTTACAACATTATTTGAAGCAGCCTAATGATTGCATTGTTTATGACTTTATTTAAGCCTCTTGTATGTAGCTGCAAAAATATTATATGTAAAATCAGATTTCTTCAGACTAAAGAACAATGGAATCTATTATGTGACCTTAAGAACATGGTTCTATAATGTTATAATAGATAACCTTTTTTAAAAAAAATCAAAACTAAATATATCTTTAATGGATTTGCAATTCTTTATTTCAGGATCCCTACATTTTAGATGTTTTTGGGGAAGATAATTTTATAAATATTAATATAGGTCCAAGCAAACAGGGAACAAAGAAAATATAAGATATATATTATGAAAACTCTCTCTTCTAAATACTACTCCACAGTTTAAATACTCTAAAATCAACAGCCATTTTCCAACTAACACATTTTACTTGAAGTTTTTGTAAGCTGCAGCTCACTTTATCAGACGCAATGGTTAGGGTTGGTATAGAATGTAAATTAGAATTAGACAAAGAGGAGAGGAGGGGAAGACAGAATAGTTATCTGCAATATCCGTATGTTTTCCAAAAGCCTTTATGGTTAAATGCCATGGAGACATCTCTTGCCTTTTCTAAAGGGAAAATAAATTTGCAGTACTCATTGGGCCCTTTCTCCAAGAGTCCTCCAGGCTTGGAGTTGATGTCTGTTATTTGTTTAATGACCTCTGCCTTGTTTTGTGGATTTTGTTATTAGAATATTTTAATTCAGGCTATCTGTTGATTTAATATCTTTAGCTGTTTTTTAGTTTCTTGCACAGCCCAGTCCACAGTAATTGAGCAGCCAATACATTTAAATAAATAAAATTTCATGTCATTGAGCAACAATACAATTTTCATACCATGGTCTATCCCTTGACTCACCTGCGTATAGAAGCCACTAGCTGCTTCTAGAAATAGAGAGAGGTTTGCTTGAACTTCACTCCGATTTGGATTTGCTCGGTTTTTTGCTTGACCCTGTAGAGTTGTGATCTGATTCTTAAAGGCATGATTCCACCTTAAAAAAGGAGAACTTTTCATTGTTCTATGTTACACAAAAAAATGATATATTGAATGATACCTGCTTGAAGGAGAAGAGAATAGGAAAGTGCTGTTTCAATGAAGCTTCTAGAGTACCACAAATATTATCTTTACATTATGACCATATATCTACCTAACCCTTCTCTTCACTTGTTGACACTTATGTCAAACATTCATGGCAATGAGGATTGTCAGAAAGCCTGGCTAGTAATAAGAATTGGGAGTGAGTATTACCCTTTTTTCTCTTTACAGTGTGGACCAAAATAACCTCAGATTGCTCAATAGAAAAAGGCCCAAGGAAAGGAGTAGTTCTCTCGCAAAGAGCACATTGCGACAAGGGGGAAGATGAACCTGGCTATCTGCAACAATCAGTGATAAAGCAGCTGCATGGAGTTTCTTTCACCCTTCTCTGCAAAGTAGAACTCTATGCTTGTGATGCAGTTGGAATTGAAAGGCTATGCATTCTGGACACAGGTACTAGACAGGGAGATCAAGAACTGCCAGCTAATATTTAGTACCCACAGGAAATGCCAATCAGCCAAGGTTGAATTGGATATAAATTCATCCAAGGCTTTGGCTTGAACAAATGGTTTCCCAACTTTCTTTTTTTCTTCTCCTCTTTCCTTGAATGTCTTTTTTTTTTTAAGTTTGTAAGCTCAATGACAATGCTTACTCTTTTTTTAATTGGGAGTCAATATGTGCTTGAGATCAGCCAAATGGTTATAATATTATCTCTATTACCACCAACTACTTGCAGCGTAGGGGAAAAAAAAACCAAAAGTTTTATTTAAAATCCAATTTTTCAAAATAATGTTTCAGTCTGCACACATCGTGTTCAGTTTAGTTTAGTTTATTGGTTATTAGCCCATAGGCCACATCAAAATACAGAATTCCAAACACAAATTATTAGTAAAATTCTGTAAAAAACAATTTAAAATGAAATTGGAGTAAAATACAATATATAGATAATATAAGATAAAATTATATTTCAGTATAGCCCCTACAATCTACCCCAATCAGACCCACATATGCCGATCTCAACCAAACCATTTTACTCAAGTACTTGTTCAGTTAAAAAAGAGATTGTACATATAGTCCTTGACTTATCACCACAATTGGAACCAGAATTTTGGTTGTAAATTATTGCAGTCATAAATCAAGTTGGACTGGGTTTAATGACAATTTTTATGGCAATTATTAAGTGAATCATAGTTCTTCAATTGGCTTTTTTTTGCCAGAAACTGGCAAAAAAGATTATGAATTGCAATTACGTGACTACAGAATGCTGCAACTGGTAATAAATGTAAGCCAGCTGCCAAGTACCTGAATTGCAACCATAGGACTATGGGGTTGGTGCAATAGTACAGATTATAAATCCCAGGCCATTGTGCCTTTGTTAAGTGAATGGTAGTTAAGTCAAGGACTACACTAGCATCTTTAACAAAATACTGTAAGTCACACTTAGTTATACTTACAGATCCTGTTCCACTTTTTTATCCAATGCATACTCCAAATCTGTTACTAACATTTTCTGGTATAAGTCCTGTAAAGCTTGTCGAGATGTCCAGGCTTCGGCTGGTCCCAGCTTCGAATCTGAGAAATATACATATATATGTATGTGTTTGCGTATGTGTCTATATATATGTGTCTGTGTCTATGTGCACTTCCCCTGCCTAGACCAATGGTCCTCAAACTTTGAGATATCTGAAAAACCTTTCTCCATGTGAAAAATTGTATGAATCGCATTAATAAATACGTTTTATATAATACCTTGTCATAGATTTCTCTCCTTAAACAAAACAAATGAATTAACATTTTACAATTTCACTATAATCATAAGCAGCCATGTGGACCCCCAAAGTAATTCTTATGGAACCCTGTGTTCCAAGAAACATAGTCTTGGTTTTATTGGCTCTAGACCAATAAAGAATTGTCTTAGCTGTGAACTAGCTTGCACAGTTAATTTCTCTTTTGCTTTTGCAGGATTCAAAATAAGAAATTTGGACCAGTGGCACATGGACGTTAATGGAAAGAACAAGATTTTCATCAGATCTGGAAGAGTACTGAAGACCAGTTGCAATACAGTTGACCCCAAAGTATCTAAAATCTTGGGGTAGTAGTGCTAGTCTTCCCCCTTGTCCTCATTCCTGCTGCCACCCTGTATTTGAAGTTGATGCCTTTGTATCTTCTTACTCCAAAGAAGTAGGAAGGATGGCTCCTCAACCAAATCTCTTGATTTTAGTAATTCATAGTCACTAGATCAGAAAATTAATTAAAACCTGTTTGTGAATTACAATAACAACTTTCAATGAAATCTGATTACCTAAATTTGGGGGATTTAGATGGTGAAAACATTACCTGTCATGTCAGCCTTCAGGACTTCTGCCTGCCTGTAAATAAAATACATACAATACTTGTTAAAATAATTAATAAAGAACAATATTTTAAATAAATTAAAAATGCAAGAATATTCAGGTCTAAGGATTTGTGCAATTTATCTAAAATGCAATCTGCAATAGAATCTCAGCTCATGTTCTAAGCTTTAGCCTTCATTATGATATATTAAGAATAACATTTTTACCCAGTTCACAATATATATAGATGTGCTGCCAAAATATAAAGCAACAACAGATTGCAAGTTATATATTTTTCACACAGCAGAAGAAATGAATAAAAAAGTGGGATATTGGGGATTACATCAAGCTTAGGTATTTATATATGAATTTGTACCTACGCCATTAGATTAGCAGATATTTTTTATTTTCAATCTCTCTGAGGTATAGCTATTAACACATTTTACTGTTATTTCACATAAATGCCATCCTTCTCAGCAGCCTTATGTGGTACTTTAAATTTTATATCTGTTGTAGTTGTTATATAACCTATTAACAAAACTATTACATGCATATGTTGAGGTCATTTTAGAGCCATTGTTGAACTGATTGGAACTGATTATTGCATAGAATGGCTGCAGCATCATAAAATATTTGTTTTCTGGGGGAAACTGGAAAAGTTTAAAGAAAAATAACTTGCTCTGAGCCTTAAGTGTCCAGATCTTGACATAGAGTAGATGTTTGAAATTGCTCTTTTGAAGTATCTTTTGTTTCAGTTCCAACTTTCTACCACCCCAACTTATTCCTTTACTTAGCTGATTATTAAGAACAGAAGTGAGTAAATTTAGATGCAACTACTAAGACAACTGTTTCATATACTTTGTTCAACGAAAAAAACTGCTATTGCTCAACTGCTATCGCACAGCTCTGATACGGAGTAAGTTATTCATAACTATGCACACTTGTAGCAGTTTTTTGTACAGCTCACTGGTTTTTACAAGACCATTTTTCATGTTCAAGGTATCTTAAGAACCTACTTGGAATAAGTCCAACACTGGGATTTTTAGGAATTTAAAATATAAATTTATGTATTAAACAGTTGTTAGACAATTACCACAAGGGGAATTCAACAGCATTTATAGGAAGGAGTACTATAGCTTATTTATGAATCTTAGCCAGCATGCCAATGGTGATGATGTGCATATGAACAGCAAATAATAGGCAATCTTTAAAATACACACACATACACCAGTTAAAACTTACATGTATAGCAAGATGTTTAAGTACAATAATTACTGGATTAGATTCCTACATTAAAATCTCATTTAGGAAACATCTGTTGCCCTCAAATATATATAACCAACCATGTATTAAGTGGAGCCTTTTCACATTAAGCCACTTGCCAAACTAATAGCTCTTCCTACCTAAAGTCTTATTACACTTCTGCATAAAGTCAGAAATCTAAGAAAATAAGAGTGGGTTTTTTTAATATAACTTCACAGGATAATACAAATATATTACTTTATCAAGTAATTGTAAACTACTTGGATAATAGCTATTGCTTTCTTATTGAATATTTTAATGTATTGCTTAACATGTATTTTACTGAAGTTTTGCAAACCATTTTGAAATGCTTCAATATAAGAAATAATATTAAATAACTAAGCATATTCCAAGTATTTAATAACAGACTTAGTTCTTACATGTCTGAGAAATACATGTCATTATATACAGAAGACACAAACACTAAAATCCCGTCTATTTCAGTTTCTTTCAATTTAGTCATCTATCCACATCCCTCTTTAGAAATATTAATAAAAATATTTTTTTAAAGAAAAGCAATCTTAAGATACAAAACCTGATTTTTCATGTATACTTCAGCAGCAAAAAAAATTAAAAACTTCTTTCCAAATGTATGTTAAAAATAAAGTAATTTGAATTGTAGAAATCCTAAATACTGAAGTCCTAACTGCTTCTGTGTTGAAGAGTAATTTTATTCAAATATAATCATTTTTTCTAATTATTTATGAGAACATGAATATTTTAACTGGAAGAATTATGAAAAAAAATCTCAATATATGCTGTATTCCCTTTGCCTATCCTTGTGCAAATACAATATTCAAAATATATATATGCCATGCTCTGTTTGTTCATTTTCCTCTAAAAACTTAACCCTGAAACCTGAGGGCCTGCTATCAAAGTTCCACACCAATTTTCTGTCAGGTAGGATTTTCAGTCTCGAAATAGATCTTCCAAATCTGCTGTTTCATTTAGCTTTTTTATTTCCACATTAATATTATTTTGAAAGAACTTGCATTATTTCCCAAAAGAACAAGATACACAGGATCGAAAAGAGAATAGATCCTCACGATTCTATGATGCAATACAGTTGTAGTAAAGGCACATTATTCCCTTTCCCAGAGGTCTGTCATTCACACACATAAACCCGGGCATTCTGCTGATATAAAAAAAGCAGAAATTCAATAGAAATAATATTGTCTGTCTCTGTTTCCATTAGTATGTATTTTAGAATATCCAAAATACACGCTGAAACGGGGAATTGACCAGAGTTGAAGCCTAACCTATTTAATCACATTTGAAATGAAATCAGCTACTTTTATTTTTCACTATAACAAGAGCAGTACACCTGTCACTCTCTTCCAGCCCAACCCACCTCACAGGGCTGTTGTTGTGGGAAAATAGGAGGAGGAAGGTATACTGGATATGTTTGCTACATTGAATTATTTTTAAAAATACTACAGCTGGTATACAAACAAATAAACAGCAACTGTGCAGATGAGAATACAAAGAATAATACTGAATAAATTCACTCTTTATCATTATTACTGATTCAGTGTTTTATAATATATTTTATTTGCTCATAAAAATACTTAGGTATTTAATTCACTGATAGTGCAGAACACACTTTTAATACATTTTCACAATTGCTTACATTAATTAGGGCTTCTTTACAAAGGGCAAAGTAACAGATGTACACAGACTTTCACATATCCTGGTCCAATGGAATACCCATGTTCAGCCATGATAACTCTAAAAAATCTATTACTTTTCTGCTCCAATAGGGAACTATTTACTTGCATTAATACTCCTGTCATTCTGAGAGGTTTTTTTAGCCACAATTTGTCTGCAAAGTGGAACACAAGACCCGGTGGAATACCATGGTCCTAAAACTGGAAGAGGCTAGGCAAAATACAAGCATCACACTCTTTTTTTAACCACTCTTAGACACCTAATAAGAAGGATTAAATCAGCAAACAGTAATGCCTACAAAACTGATGGAACATCTGTAGCATCTTCAAATGAACTTTTCCAATAACTCTACAACCATGAAGAGCTATAGGTATCACCAGTAGATCGAATACTGTACTTAATCAAATGCCGAAAAAAATCAGGAGTCAAACATTGTGCCCACGATAGAAGAATAAAGGTAATGAAAAATGGTAGAACAGAAGGATGGAACTACAACTGCGGCACCCAGAGCTAGTGTCTGTTTCATTGAGTGACTATATTTATAGTCAATTTGGCATTCATGGAAAGTCTCCACTATATGGAAACAAAATATTATAATCTATATTTTGAAAAAAGATGATAGCAATTCAAAAGCAACTGGGCCATAAGTTTTATTGCCAGTATCAATAAAGGAGAATATTTGTATCTCAGAGTTGAAATGCGGGTCCTTTGTGCTCTGACTTGGTTGTTTTCTTGCAGACGTTTCATTACCCAAACTAGCCCTGACAATGTTACATAATTTGGATAATGAAACATCTACAAGAAAACCATGAAGCTCAGAGAGCACCAAGGATCCCTCATTTATTGTCAGTCCTTGGAAAGGTCTTCATAAGAATCAAGTAACTGCATTTCCAGAAACAATAGGAAAAAAATAATTAGAGGAAAGTAGCCTGGTTTCCACCCAATTCAAGGATACTGTGATCAGATTTTCATCATCACAAAATTAATAAATGAGAGAATTCAATGATAATGAATTCAATGAGAATTCAATAATAACTTGCTCATTGACTTTGAAGCAACTTTGACAGTGTACACTAGTCAGTTTTATGGAAAGAACTGAAAACCCACATATTCTACAACAATTCCAACAAATTGTGTACATATCCAAAATTAATGTTCAGTTCTTGATTCGAATTGGCATTAGGTATGGTTGTGTGATCTCAACCCTTCTGTTCAAAGTCATACCGATGCTATTATGAAGAAAGGTTTGGAAGGCTCTGCAACAAAACCCATTATCTCCAATTTACAACAATTGGGACTGGAATTTCTACCATTAGTTGTAAGCACCCAACATGATTAAACCTGATTTTTCCACTCTTTTTATGGCAGTTGTTAAATGAATCACACAGTTGTACATCTGAACCATGCAATCATTAAGCAAATAAGGTGGTTGTTAAGTGAATCCATTGTCCTGAGTGGGAGAGGCTTGATTTCATATCAGAAATCAAGGTCTTGTAACTGTGGGACACTGCAACTAGTCATAAATGCAAAATGGTTTCCCAAAAGCTAAAATGCAGCCCTGTGATCCTGTAGGGGGAATGTGGTGGACTACTACAGCACAATATTTTACAATGCATTATGGATCATACAGCACCCTTTCCAAGGCTGCTGCAACACTGAATGGTTGTTAAACAACTGGTCATATGTCAAAGACTATCTGTATTTGTAGACAATATCATAGAAATTGCTAATATCTTATATATCATCAACACAGTTGATTATACAGTAGAAAAATTGACAGAAAAATGAAGATTTTGACAATTGATGGGTCTCAATCTGCTACCTACCTCAACAGAAGTTGAGATAGGTAGTTAAGTTTAGGTAGTTAAGAGCAAGTTAACCAATTCAATATCTTGGGTTGCTGTTAAAAAAAATAAAACATCATAAAAAAACAGAACGAGCTAACAGAATTGGCCAGATCAATTGCTGTCCTTAGATATTTCAACTAGTGCTTCAGGAAGAAACAAAACATTTCAGTGAAAAGGGATAAAAGCAGAGGTGGGATTCTACCTGTTCAGACCGGTTCT